TTCTCTCCAAGAACTGTACTCATCCAGAGTGAGCAAAAGGGCTGGCAAAATCACTCTGGACCCCTCACATCCAGCACACTCCCTCTTTGAACTGTTGCATTTGGTCGACGCTACAGAGCACTGAGCACCAGAACGGCCAGACACAGGAACAGTTTCTTCCCTCAGGCCATCCATCTCATGAACACTTGACAATAACTGAGGAACACACACTATTTTTCACTATTTTTTTAAATGACACTTCATTTCCAGCGATTATCTTTGACTTGATTGCAAATGATTGCAAAGATACTATTTAAACTGAACTGAGCTGGATGATGACATCACTGAATCCAATGATGAACTGTCTTTAACTGAAAAATGAGTGTTTACTATTGTCATTTTGCATTATTGACACACTATTTTCCTAATTAATGCTGTTCAGTTGCTTTGACACAATCTGTATTGTTAAAAGCGCTATATAAATAAAGGTGACTTGACTTTATTTATTCACTCATACACTTATTTATCTAACACACATACTCAGTCTACATTTAAATTTGCACACAATATACCTGTACATACAACTGTCTATTGTTCTATACCTGTACATACAATTGTCGATTTGTATATTTTTTATTCCTTATTTTACTTGTTCTATTTTTTTTGTTCTGTCACTGTCATTGTTACACTGTGGAAGCTTCTGTCACGAAAACAAATTCCTCGTATGTGTAAACATACCTGGCAAAAAAGCTCATTCTGATTCTGATTACGGATTATAATGACTTATACTGTCTTTTTACGCGTTGTGTTGCATCGCGCCGCGTAAACTTAAAATCATGTCTGCATTTGTGATCGGAGAAATGACAAACAACAAGCTCTACTCCACACTGCTCAAAACTTGCATTTGAATTGTCAGTGGCAAATTCTTTAAATATAAAACGTACTTGCAGTCTGTGAGAAGAACAGCCGGCATTGTAGTCTACTCTACCAGGATCAGGAAACAGTCCTCCATAAAATGCGCTGGACACATCTGAATATTGGGTTGAACTGTTCTGGAACAGTGTTGTAAATACAACTTAACACACTGATTTCTAGTCGTGTCCTCTTTTGGAAGGCCAAACAAAGTTGTTTTGATTTCACAACGAAACACACGGCAGTCTAGAGTGAACGGAGGCCGAAGGCCTAGAGTAAGCGGAGGACGGCGGGCTAGAGTGAGCGGAGGTGGGCGGACTTGAGAACGGTGCGGCCGGCGGATTTGACGAAGGAGCATGTGACGACCCTGGGCTGGACTCCGCTTCGTCCACGGTGAAAGCCGATCCGGCGATCCACAGGGCGAAGTTGATGTATTCCCTCAGCGACCAGCACGGATCAGCTCCAGGCATGACGAAGCGGATATTGTCCTCTTTTGGAAGGCCAAACAAAGTAGTTTCACTTTCACAATGAAACACACAGAACCTTCACGACATAGCGGCGGCGGAAACAACAATACTACAGCGAGAATAAAAGTTACGCCTTCTTTCTTTGCGTGGACACTTGGGCGGCGTTATGCAAATCTTCCCACATCGTGACGTAGACATGTGGGGGCGTGTTAGAACGAGCCGTTTTAGGAACGCGTGGTTGACTCTTAACTTTTATAAAAAATATCTCTTTGGATTTGAGACTTTAGTCTTTGCAATTTTACAGATCTTCTTTAAGCACCAAGAGCTTGTAACACTCCAAAGAGAAAGGAAAAATTGAAATCGCATCATATGACCCCTTTAACAGAGTCACAGATTTTCAAAGTGTTCTGATCTATAGAAAGCAATAGCCAAGCTGGTATCTGTTTCATGTGGGTAACATGTAAAATCTTGCCTTTTTCTTTTTAGTTGAGTTTTATTATGTTTCTCTACCCAGATGCCAAGATCATCCAATGCCTGTCCGGAAGGCCATCTTCATAGAGAGAGCACTAAGTCCAACTGACTGAAGGGGCTCAAATGGATCTCTCTGTAAGGCCTGAAGGACCACTTCATAATCCCAAGGGGGGATGAGGCACGGCCTTGGAGGATTCAACCTCCAGGTGCCTCCTAGGAGTCTGATAACCAGATCATGCTACCCCACCGATCTGCAATCTACAGTGT